TCAACTTTCTTTTTTTTTCTTTTCATTATGAACGTTTTTCTTGTTTTCTTGACATTCTTTCTTAACAATTTTTCTTCCTTCCATGACTGTCTTTTTTTTCCTTCTTTGATTCTTAACTTTATTTTTATTTACCTTTCTTTTCTTTTTCATTCCTTTCTTTCTTTATTTCTTTCTTTCCAGACTTTCTTTTTTTTCTTTCTTTCGGCTTTGCTTTCTTTAACAGTGAAAGGCAACAGTTTGTTTTATACTTAAACACAATCGTCAAACTATATAAGTGGAAGATTAACTTGGCTATTTATATATGTATATTACTGGAGTATTATGGGTAATAAGGCCAGTTATTTCCGGTGTAATGTGTTATTTGAACAGCTATTGAATGTGACTAATTATATTAGCGGAAATTTATTTGCTGTTTATTGTATTTTTCTAATGGCTATTGTGTATGATTTGTTCTTATTAATTATCTAGGTCATTTGTTTAAGATTTACATTTTCAGACATTTGCTGATGGGTTGTAAGTTTAAGATTTGCAAGTAAACTGCTTAAATCGATACAAACATTCTTTCTTAACTTTCTTTTTGCGCCGTTACTATACTTTTCCATCTCTGTTCCGGTTCTTTCTTGTCTGTCAACAGCCATTGTCCTATTTTTCCTGATGGTTCTTGTTTTATCAATTGTCATTATTTTGTGGATATACCACTAGAGGTTTTCGATTTAGTTTACATTTTTCGTCTAAACTGTTATTAAAAGTTTCATAAATCGAATCTCGAAATGGAATATTTGAAAATCTAAAAGATATAAAATCTAAGAACTGTAAATCTAACATATATAAAACCTAAGAACTGTAAATTTAACAGATGTAGAATCTATGAACTGTAAATCTAACATATATAAAATCTAAGAACTGTAAATCTAACAGATATAAAATCTAAGAACTGTAAATCTAGTAGATGTAGAATCTATGAACTGTAAATCTAACAGATATACATTTATCCAAGAACTGTAAATCTAACAGATATAAAATCCAAGAACTGTAAATCTAACAGATGTAGAATCTATGAACTGTAAATCTAACATATACAGAATCCAAGAACTGTAAATCTAACAGATGTAGAATCTATGAACTGTAAATCTAACATATATAAAATCTAAGAACTGTAAATCTAACACATGTAGAATTTAAGAACTGTAAATCTAACAGATGTAGAATCTATTAACTATAAATCTAACAGATATATATTTATCTAAGAACTGTAAATCTAACCTATATAAAATCCAAGAACGGTAAATGTAACAGATATAAAATCTAAGAACTGTAAATCTAGCAGATGTAGAATCTATGAACTGTAAATCTAACAGATATATACTTATCTAAGAACTGTAAATCTAACATATATAAAATCCAAGAACTGTAAATCTAACAGATATAGAATCTATGAACTTTAAATCTAACAGATATAAATTCAAGAAACGTAAATCTAACAGATATAAAATTTTCTATGTTTATTTTTGTATAAACTTGCATTTATTTTCTATCTATCTATATATCTATCATTTCATTCATTCTTTCTTTCTTTTCTTTATATCTATCTATCTATGATGGATATTTTCTTAATTACTTTTCATTTCGTCCAACAATTGTTAACCGTAATTCTAATTAACGTTGATTTAGTTATATTCACTTAAGAAACGTATGGATCTACCTCTTCTCCTCCATCTATGGGTTAGGTTGTAAGATATGTATCACTAAACCATTATTATCTCGAAAAGATCCTAAAATCTAAAAATATTTTCTGTCTTTAAATAACCTCCAATGGGTTGATAAACCGTAAAAAAAGGAATCAGTCAATCAATGGGTTAATTAGTTGGACTTGTATCACAAAACCCTTATTATCTAAAATAAACTCTTACAATGTAAAAAAAATATTTTCTGGTTTTAAATAAGCCTGCCAAGTGTTGATAAGACGTAAAAAATTACCCAGTCAATTAGTCTTTATAAATCAAATGGCTCTTGAGCCTTGTGCTGGTTGAAATTTCTGTCAAAGGGAAATTGGAATCTGTGATCAGTGTTTAAGTTTTGGGCGAGTCTGTCACGTTCACTTTCGCAAATGACCTTGGAAAGGCCATGGACCCTAACCCTTCTCTATCAGCTTAGGATTAAATATCAGGACTCTGCATGTTTTAGCGACAAGCTGTCTAGTCAGAAGGACTAATCTGAATTATAAGTTATCAAATAGAAATAACTCCGCTCTCTTTCCCAAGAAGTCAGGAACGTCCACAGATGATAAAATAATAGGATAAGTGTTGAACGGAAATTGAATTTAAGAAAAAATGAACGTTATTAAATGAAAATTTGTAAAGAAAATGCTGCTTATATCCGCATGTCATGCTACAAAGTTATGGTCTCTCCAAATTTTTCCTTCATCATTAATTCTCTTTACCCCTTGGCGAGTAACATATCTCTTTCCTATGAATTGTCTATTCACATTATTCATATAGTCGTCGTGCTGTCCTGGGCAAATTACTTATTCCTTCATCAGAAAATGCCTCGTCTCTTAAGGACATATATCTATTAATATCAAGGACTTTCTCTTTTTCTGAACCCATCAGGGAGATATATATCTCTCCAAACAAAATTTATTCTTTGATATTTGTAAGTTTTACATTTTATATATATATATATATATATTTTAAATCACATGATCTAATTCAAAAGAAAATTATTTTAAACTTTCAAAAGAAAATAGTTTCAGTTCCGACATATACACGTAGAATCTGCCATGACACGTACACGCGGTCGAATTATCCTCTTTCCGTTCGTATTCCATTAGTAAGTAGGAAGTTCCTTTCAGACCGCTTCTTCCCTATTTTATGAATTAAACTCCCGACGGGATGCTTTTCTGATAACTACAATCTTAACATTTTCAAGTTTAGGGTCAACCCTTAACTCTCCACCATATTCACAATCATCGAAGTTAAGCGACCTCGAGCCTGATTAGAAATTGCTGTGAACTAGGGAAGATTACTGAATAGAATAATCACAACGCGTATAAGATTCGCCAGCGGCGCGTAGAAGTACTCCACTGCTAGATGCGAGTCAAGTGAATTCCACAATGAATCTCCAACTACTGAATAACATACAGTATTTACTACTGTCTTTATGTGAATGGCGACATACCCATTATCGTCCGTAGTTTAAAATTAAAGCACAGTTGAATATTTGCAAGAATTAATAAATAATGTTACTGCTTGATAAAAAAAAGGTAAAATTTAATTAGCCATGTCGGATTCTTAATTAAATCATCACAAATGCAGATGGATGTATACCTGTGTTTTATTGATTATGAAAAGGCGTTTGATAAAGTACGTCTCAGAGAACTGTTAGAACAGATTAGTAATCGTGACATATTTGTGAAGGATATTAGAATAATCCAGGACTTATGATATCAGCAAGCCACCTGCATATGAACAGAAAATGAATTCAGTAGATATACAAAAATAGAAAGGAAGGATATGTCTTTTCACTGGACATAATCAAACTATACAGTGAAGCGATTATGAAAGAATTAGAAGTCCTACCAGGATTTATTAATGCTGGTCACAATCTTAACAACATAATATGCAGATGACACAATGTTATTAGCAGATAAGGAAAGGAAACTACGAGAACTCCTGCAGAAGGTAGTGAAGGAAAGCGAAAAAGAAACGACTAAACATCAATTCGAAAAAAATGAAATACATGTTTATTGTTCTCAGTTCTATTGTCATATTCACGACGTTCCGGCCTTCTTCAGGTGATATACGTTGGAATATCGAAGCGACCCCTTTATTTAGTCCACGATGGTAGATTGTTCAGTTAATTCCCTTTAGTAACTCAACGCTCCAGTTTTTTCTTCTCTACGCTGTGACCAAGTTTTGAACTTACAACTCTTTGCGTCAAGTGACTTTTTGCATCATTCAACCAACGCTTTTATCCATTGTTCCAGTCCTTCTATATGGCAGTGGTTGCAGCCATCCCCTCACAGATGAAGATGACATTTGATGCAAGAGAAATAAGTTCTATAGAAATATGCTGAAGCTGAGTAACGACGAAGTTTTATAGAAAATGGAAAAAAGGAACCTTATACTTGACACCAGGAAGAGATAGTCGGCTTTTCTAAGGGACATAATGAGGAAAGAGGGCTTGGAAAATCTGATACTCACAGGATAGATTGAGGGAAAATGGGATAGAGGAAATCAAAACATAGTGTACATAGTGTTGTATAAGTGTCGTTGCCGACACTGTGGTTCGAAACTAGATCGCCAGTGAGTAATACCGGCGATTCCATTATTAAGTAGATCACGTGATCATAAAGGAAGCGAATAAATAGGAAGAAGCGTGATGACTATACGATCACTGGTCTTGTCTATCCACTATTGCTATACGTTCACTCTCTCTAATCTACTACTATACGGATTACGATTCTCTTTTGATCATTATACTATTTGGCTATTACTACTAGAACAAGTATTACTAGTGCAGATATTACTGGAAGGCTTTACTACTAGTATCGGCGTCTACGAAGTCTCGAATATAACATAGCAAAAGTGACAAGAGAAGATATCCAACATCACAAAACTTAGTAAACTTGAGTAAATGGATGGCGTAAGAAGGTTTAAGACAAATAACTAAGAGATAAGATTTATTAAGAGCTACAAAGGATAGGAAATTTTGGAAAGACATGATCGCCTAAGTCTTGAAGGAACACGGAACACGGAACATAGAAGAATATTTTTCGTGTAAAGACGCTATTATTTATTGCGTCTGCCACAGTCTCATTCATCATTTTTAAATCGTTTAAATCTTCATTAGAATAAAATTCCGACTATAAAATTATGGATTCGGTTTTTTGAAAAATTTTGTAAATATGATTTTCTGTACCTTTAATAATGGAAATAATTTTTACTTCTCGCTGTGTGTAAAGATTTAATGAAGCATCAATTGGTTTCCAGTCGCATCACGTTGAAACACCGATTCCCGTGCGATTACCGAAGTTAAGCAACGTCGAGCCTGATCAGTCCATATATGGGTAACCTCTTGGGAATACCAGATACTGTAAGCTTGGATGTGTGGATGGTTTAATGCATAATGGCTTAGAATTGTTAATCGGCAAGCCGAATTCCAATTCCAGTTGGGGTCGTAATATTCACTTACGACCAATTACCCTTGGGAAAGTTATAATTCCACCTCTTTTCCAGTCTTACAGCCACATCATGTAGAAACACAGGTTCCCTTACGAATGAATCCACCTCTTCTCCCCCAGCTATGGGTTATATTGTAAGATATGTATCCCTAAACCATTATTATCTCGAAAAAAATTACTACAATCTAAAAATATTTTCTGCCTTTAAATAAACTCCAATAGGTTGATAAACCGTAGAAAAGGAATCAGTCAGCCAATTTTAATTATTCAAATGTCAATTATAAAAAAGAAATTTAAAATTGTAACACGAAAGATGACGATACTGATTTCGATTTGCATTCTGTACTCTCTTCCTAGGCTATTTGATATTCTAATTAAGTAGATATTCTGTGACATACAATTGTACAGTTTGCATATTCATGAAAGATGATGACGTGTCTTTCAATAAGGAACCTCATTATGTGTCTCAGTCATTTCAGCTGTCTGTTTGTAACTTTATATTTTTGTTATTTACTTAGATCATTCTTCCATAGTATTCTCACCATCCGTCTCCCGTATTGCATCCCTCTGGCGTCAGTTCTCCCCTTCCCCTCAACTTGACCAGCATTCAATGTCATATATTTACATTACCTAGCCGTTCAGCACTGTTTTCTGTTTCAAACGAGGGTTTTGTTGGCTATCAGAAGCCACATTTTACTATTTCAGTTCGCTTACATGTTACAGTTCTTTCTGATTCTATCCCAGTCATGAAATGAAGGTCGTTCTGAACGGGCTGTCTTCCAGATCTTTTCATACGAACGCAGATGTTTACCAAGGTTATATCCTGAGCCCAACAATATTTCTGATCTTCATCAATGATTTCCTGGTGTCATCAGTTCCAAAGTAGGTACCTATGCAGATGAGACTACCATTTCCTCCTGAGTCAATAGTAAAACTGACAGCGATGACTGTCGAACAATCACGTGGTCAAGATAAACACTCAGTTGTGGAGCAAGCTGAGTGAATACTAATTCAGGGTTTGTATTAAGTTACAACCTGCTTTATTTTTGTCTGCCAGCTGGACGCTAGCTGGGACTCTTACGCCGATAAGTGTTATTTATTGTATTGTTATTCTACAATGACAAAGTTAACTTGGCCGCTGCTCTCGAAAAGGACCGCCAGTCAGTGGTTATGTGGGACAGGAAATTTTAATGTCCCCTACCCAAACTAAACTGCTCTCATTTAACCACCACAAAGAATCTTCCCTTCTCACCATCAACATGGTTGATACTCGAGTCTGTGAGAGCATCTCACTGCACCTTCTATTCTTTACGTTTTCAACTGACTTGATGTGGAACAACTATATTGAATCAATAGCTGCATCTACTTGTAAGGAAAGTTGTTTCACTGTATCGTGCTAGAAGTTTTTTCTCATCAGAGTCCATCTTACACATGTACAAATCTACCATTCCTCCGTGCATTGAATACTGTTGTCATATCTGGTCTGGTGTTCCTGCTTTTCATCTCGACAAAATCCAAAGAAGGATCTGCAATGTAATCTCTCCTGACATCTCCCGTCTTCAGTCACTTATTCACAGACGTGATGCGACTTCCGTCCGTCATTTCTACAAATATTTTCATGGCAACTGCCCTGACGAGCTTTTTTCCCTGGTACCTCGACTACGCGAATTTAAGCGTGCTACTAGATTGGCATCTAGGTCCCACGCTTTTACTTTTGAAATAGTTACATGTAACTGCCACTTCTACTCCAACAGTATCTTTTCCTGCTCTTCCCGGGAGTGGAATTTCTTTCCTCTTACTTGCTCCCCTTCTAAATCTTCAAATATCCCCATATTCTGTTGCCTCGATCGTCGTTCATCTTTTATCTTTTCCTCAAACCCACTTTTAGTCAGTCTTTTCTCTCTCTCTCTTTTTCTCTACGTAACTCCTACGGGCATTTCCGCCTTGCTTGGGGGGAAATGCTTTAAAAACAAGTGTTCATTTTTCCTTTATGTTCCTTCATTGCTTACATGCTTCGTCCATTTTATTCTTTGCTTTCTTCTGTTAAATCACATCTCTCTTTCCTCAAGTCTCCTCAAATTTTCACCATAAACGGCCATATAATAGGACTGATATGACATAACACTTCAGCACTATTTTCTTTTTACCGTATTTTGAAAACTGTGCGCTGGTTGGTCTGTATAAGTGAGCATTTATTGTAACACACATATTAACCTGTGCGTATAATCTTGAGTAAATCTCATAGTCCGTGCAAAAGCATTTGAAATGGTACCCCACAGTTAACTGTAAATTTCAGCTTACAAGGCAACCTCAAGGCGTTTATGTATAGGTCGAGTCCCCTCCAACCCCAGCAACATGCGTTAGACTACCAGTGACTCAAACCTTATGCCTACCGATATATTAATTTAGGCTACAGTATACGATAACTTGTGTCAAAACTACATAATGTAACACCACTTACCTGTATATTAACACACTAACCATAATACCTTTCTATATGCTTTGTATAGAAAACAACTTACAACGCACACCGGTAGGTACCATATATTGTGTCGGTATAACTTAGGGAACATTTAAAATTCGTCACGTCTACTAAATTAATAAAACACTGAATTTGTGTTACTATTATATTATTTTATATTAATATGGCAAATATGTTTACCAAACACGAGTTTTAGTGGGATATATTTGTGACAGCCTGTTGAAATTACGAAAAATGATGTACAGTACGTATTAGACGTGTTGTCCCACTTGTTTACAATTCGGTGGTAAACGTTTGCATTTTATACCCACCGTATAAGTCGACCCCTAGTTTTAGAAATATTTTTAGGCTTGAAAATTCGACTTGTACGCCGTAAATTTACGTATTTGCCCTATTATAAAAACTTTACTTGTGATGAATGATAGAATAGAAATTATACAGCGAACGAATAAAAATTTGAAGAATTAAACACTAAAATAGAAATGGGAGTAAGACAAGCATATGTTTTCCTACCGCATGTATATATATATATATATATATATATATATATATATATATATATATATTTAGTTGGATAGATGTGAGTTTGTGACCCTGGGTTTCACGATCGCTAAAAGCGTCAAACCCAGGGTCACAAACTCACATCTATCCAACCAAATATGTTAACTCCATCTCTGATATTGAGCGCTTTCTAATAAGTACGCACATGTAATATATAAATAATTATACATATATATATTTATTTATATTTATATACACTTTTCACATATATATATATATATATATACATATATATCAAACGTTAAAATCTTTTTTTTTTTACCTAAATTGCTAAAACTATACCACCCATACTTCTTCCTTCGTAAACCCTAAATACATCTTCTTTCTCTTTACTTCCTCCTTTCTTTTCTTTTTTCTTTTTCTCTCTTCTCTCCTTCTCTTCAACATATCATTTCCGTTAAGTTGACCGATTAAATAGGTCAATGTCTGATCCTAACCTCCTCCTTCCAGAATATTAAGTATGATAGAAAGAAATATAAAAATAAATCTCTCTAAACTCGACCATGTCTCTCACACCACTCCTCGCTACCCTCTCTGTTAAATTACATAAACTTAATACTACCCGTCAAAAGTGTAAATTTTCATTTCATTTTTCGTTTCACCTTTGGAAAGAGATGTCTGAGGATCCAGGGTACTTTCAAAGGTCTCTGGTGAAATAAACTATTATAATGGAGCCTTAAAGTGGTCTCTTTTCCTTTAATATATATATATATATATATATATATATATATATATATATATATATATATATATATACAACCAAACCAAGGGAAACAGAAATACTACCAGGATTTATTATTGGTGAGTGCAATTTTAGCAATACAGACCGTCGTCGACTAACGACCTATGCGACTTAAGAATGTACGACTTTACGACCAAGACCGCGAATTGGTATGTCTGGCCGTCAGGCAACGTGAGTGTTTCCCAGCTCCCGGCAGCGCTAGCATTTTCTCTCGCCTCAAGTTCAGTATTGACAAACTTACTTTTCCCCGAGTCTTTTTGTGTCTTTGAGATTTTTCTTAAAAAAAAAAAAAAAAAAAAGATGTCTACCTAGAGTAAATTGTTTTTGTTTACCTACCAATAAGGAAAGAAAAGGCTTTTTATCTCGATACATAAATAATGGTTGATTAAACTGTACGAAGGCGGAAATAAATTTAATGTGATTGCACATGAACTAAATTTATGACACTGTGACGACGATTTTAAAGGACAGGGAAAGAATTTGTAAAGCTGTGAAAACTTCCGCACCTATGGCATTGGGAGTTAGAACGAAACAACAGACTAGGCCAATCCACGAAATAGAGAAATTGCTGTGTCTGTGAATGGAAGAACCTACTTTGGGCGAGCGTACCGTAGAAGACTAGTCAATAATTTGTAGCAATCACAGGTTTTTTTCAAGAGATTCAAAAAAAGGATTCCAAATTCATAATGTTCGACAAGCAGCTTATGCAGATGAGGAAGCAAGCTCCTATGTTGTTTGTTAACAGTCAGGATGAATTAAATGCGGATGTGGGGTATCAAGTTGAAGAAAGTTTTAATGTGGATGACAGTGGATTGTTTTGAAAAAGGATGTCAGCACGTACTTACATCCACCCAGAAAAAAAAAAGAATGTCTACATTTAAAGGATTTAGGGGTAGAATGATTCTACTGCTAGGAGTTAACATCGTGAAGTTCAGGCTGAAGGGGTTCTTAATTTATGACTCGCGGGCGTTTAAGAATGTAGACAAGCACACATTTCCCATTGCTTTCGTTTTAACCATAAAGCATGTGATCTGAATATATCACACTCTACTGTGACGACTATTTTAAAGGACAGAGAATGAATTTGTAAAGCTGTGAAAGGTTCTGCATAGTTGCGATTGACAGAACAAAA